GTTGGTTACAACTCGGGATTTTGTGGTGTCTCCCGTGTCCCCTGATGAGTAATCATCCTTCCTCCATTTTTCCACAGATTGCCTGGGGACCCCCATCGTCTACTCGCCAGTGAAAGCAGACCTGACTGGAAATATCAAGGTAGGGAAGGGCACAAGAGGGCTCGGCAGGGTGAACCCTTGGGCAGAGATGCTGTGGCAGTGGAGAGCCAAGACCTGGAGGCATTTAAAGGGGCTTTTCTTCCCATGGGGGTTTTCAGGCTCAGCTGTGGCTTGTCTCAGTGTGTTTATTAACGAGGCTCCCTGGCTAAAGCACTGTTTAGCAGCCATGGTGCTCGCTGCAGATGCCACATCTCCCTGCACCGAAGCCGTGAGCACCAGCCCAGCTGCTCTCTGGTGCCGCCCGCTGCCGTTCTGCCCAGCAGCTCCCGGGAGCCAAACCCCCCTTCTCTGCTCTCTCAGAAAATCCGGGCGGTTTATGACTCCAACCCCGCCAAGTTCAAAACACTGCAGAACATCCTGGAGGCAGAGAAGGAGATGCACGGCTCGGCCTGGCCCAAGACAGGCGCGACACTGGCGTTGATGTGGTTGAAAAGGTGACTCACGGCGTCGGGGGCTGCTCTGGGATGTGTTCTGGCACGTGGCTGTCGAATGCCGGCCGGGGTCCCTTTGGGCTGGGTCTGGCTGGGACAGTGTGGGGGGCTGTGTTTCGGGGAGCAGCGTAGCATGCTGGCTGCATGAGCGGGAACACACAGGGGCAGGCATCAGCTCTGCGAGGGGTGGTGCTGCTGGGGCAGTGGGTTTTTGAGGGGTCTGGATGCGCCAGGCTCAGGGGGTGCCTTGCTGGAGGCTGGGAAGCAGAATCCCCTTTCCCACCCCAACATCTCTGCTTTTCTGACAGGGGTCTGAAGTTCATGCTGGTGTTGCTGCAGAGCATCTCCGATGGCGAGCGGGATGAGGAGCATCCAAACCTCATCCGAGTGAACGCCATGAAGGCTTATGAGATCGCACTGAAGAAATACCATGGCTGGATGCTGCAGAAGCTCTTCACGGTGAGCGTTCACGCCTCCGTGGAGGAAAGCTCCATTTCTTTAAGCCCAGCCACTCTGTTGCCTTGAGAAGTGAGGTGCTTAAAGGGGAACGAGGGCTTGGAAACACGGGAAGATGCTGATCTATTTTGAGCAATATTTCCAGGGGACCTTCTCTGCGCATCCCTGCTTCTCCGAGGCTCCAGACACCATCCCCAAAGTTGTTCCCGTGCGCCTCTGAGCATCCGGAGACCCCCACATCATCCCAATGCTCGGAGGCGCATGGGAACAACCCAGACTGGGGTCCTGCATGTGGGATGGGGAGGACTTTGGGTTTGTGGGAGCCTTACAGCTTTTTCCCCTGTTTTATAGGGCTCGGTCTATGCTCTTCCATACAAATCGGATTTGCTGAAGGCATTAGAGAAGGGTAAAGAAGTCAAAGAGGAGGAAAGCATAGAGAAGATTCATCAGTTTCTCTTGAGGGTCACACCTATCTTGGATGCAATTTATGAGATGTACACGAAGATGAACGCCGAGCTGAGCTACAAAGCCTAAGGCTCGCATGGGACTGGTAGGGCTTAAATAAGGCATGACGGGTGCTACCTGTGTTTTAATCACTGAGACAGCTGGGGCTGCTCCTGGCTGTCAGGCGACTTTGATTCTCATCTGGATCTGCAGTGGATAACCTGTTTTCTTAAAAAAAAAAAAAATTTTTTTACTGAGATTACAGCAATAAAACAATTGTACCCCGTGTCATCGTGGGATTTCCCAAGCTTTTGTGCTAAAGAGGAAAAACAAGTGTTTCTAGTCCTAACTGCCGGGTTCACGTCTACCGCGGTGCAGGGAATGATGTGTGGCTGGCAGCAGCATCCCGCCGATGCTGCCTTGGCTCTGCCTGGACTGTTGGACTGCACCGCTGCACCCTCAGCTGCGGCTGTGCGCAGTACCCACTGTGTGCTGACGAGAGCCCGATGCCGCTCGCCCACCGACCGGCACCCACATGAGAAACTTCCCGAATGATGCCAGCGGTGCTTGCGATGGAGGAGCCGATGACTTTCCCAGGTGACCCCGACTCCTCCGGTGCGGGAGCAAGCCCCCTCCACTGGGACGGCCGTGCTGGCTGAAGCTGGGGGACTGTCCCGACACGGTGTTGGTGGAAACATGCGTTGCCTT